CGACACGGCCATCCTCGCCACTCGCGCGCCCGCCATCTTGCGCCGCTCCGGGCGCAGGGCGAGGTGTTTGGGGAGTCGCTGATCCACGTAATGCCGTAACTGAATTTCTTGGCGCAACTTCGCCGCTGTGCCGCCCCCGACGCCGCGGGCTCTGTAGTATTCGTCCGCCGCGGGGCGCGCCAAGTTTCACGACGAGTCTTTCGCGCGTTCAACGGCGCCACCTCCGCCAGCGTCCTAACCAGCGCTGTCACAACCTCCCCTGCCGTCCTTACCACACTCGTCACTCTTGTAGGATGCAGCGTCTTGCTAATAATGCCCATCTTTCGTCATTGACACAAAGGTTTTCGTCATAACCATCTCACATACAGTGCTTCCAGTGTTATCCGTAAGGCTTTCCGTCGACACTCACTTGTCTGTTCTAATGGATTTCTCGTGCTCTCTAAAAATTTTCCATTTGGTATCCCCTACCTAAATTGATTATTTTGTTGTATTCCTTCAATTTCAAAAAACCGGAGAAATTGGCCATTCTGGTGTCAGAGGTTCTCTCGTATATGCGCCATCTCCTACTCTTTTATTGTTTTTCTTTTTCTTTCTTTGCTCTTCATACTTTGTTCCCCGTTCTCTCTGCCTCTGCCTCTGTCGTGAAGTTCTCACTCTCTCCTCTACCATTTCAATATCGCTTTCTCATTTCCTCCCTGTTACATCCTCTTTTGTTTCCACTTCCGCTCTTTTCTTTATTTTTTCTTTTTTCTCCTTTTCTTTGTTTTTTTTCTTTTTTCTCATTTCTTTGTTTTGTCTCTTTTTCTTTGTTTTCTCTTTCTTTTGATGGCGTTGACACGCATTTCATAACACTTCTAGTTTTATTAAGTGACGCCGTCTCAAAATCTTTTACTTCGATTTACACAGTTACGTTTCTCAACACCTTTATCATTCAACATCCTCCTCCGTACTACGTACCATTCCTCCTCCTCCTCCCCCTCTCTCTCTACGCGGATTGCAGCGTGGCTCGGTGCACCCGCCCGCTTCCCCCCGCTGTGTCTGCTCGTTGGCCTGCGCCCCGCGCCGCGCCGCGCCGCGCCGGGGCCTTCGATGCGTGAAAGTCGTTTGTTAAACACCCTCGGAGCCCTTCCTGCGGAGACGCGACTTAAATCGGGTCGTCTACAAAACGCTGCTTGCTCCGGATTCTACCGCATTAAGGCGAATGGAGAGTGACATTTTAACTTTTTTCTCAAAAGGCGGAAACAAGGAAATGGTATAATTCGTTAGGTTTTTATTTCCCTTCCCAAATTGCCATAACAAAAGAATGCTTTATTTCGCTTCCTTATTAGATTTCCGTACTGCTTTGCGAGCATCACGTGAAAACAGATTCTACGGAACCCTGCATATCTAAAAAAAGTGTTCTTTGAATTTGTTTTTCTCTTGCAATTGGGACTACACTTCCAGGTCAAAGCGTTTCTTTTGAATTGTATAACCTTTGCCACAACAGAGCAAAGCCGCAGGCCTATCGAATTTACAGCAGTGAAGAAAAACAAAGATATATTTTGCTCCTAAAATTGTGGGTGTTCATGGGTTTTCTCTGTTTTCTAGACTGTTTCTGAGATGACGTTGAATAACACATTATGACTGATCTCTTGTTAAACAATCATTCAAGAAACAGTGACAGAAGTGACAAAATATATTCGATGAATCACACGTCAATAAAAGTGTTCTACTATACAATCTTTTTGATCTCTTTTTATATTTCCTCATTTCTTTCAGTGCACAATTTTCATAAAGAGGAAACGAAACCCCTGCGGTATTATCGAGCAACAGTGAAGTATTACATAATTGTGCATAAATAATATATAAATGTAATGAACGGTTCATGTACTTACTAACCCAACCTGCAGTTTGGCAGCTATTTATCTTAAATATTACAATAGAATTATAGATGGAAAATTTTAATTGTCACTAAAACAATTCACAACTCCGTGGATGTGCTAATATTATATCGAGTTCGTGAAGTTATTGTAGAGAAAATATTTATGGTGTTTTGTCGACCACGATGATGGCACCATGACGGGGGCTACTAATCCTTGTGCATCACCGTACAGCCATACCAGTTGGCGTACCCCACCGGGTGTGGGGTGGACGCTAGCCGACAATGGCGGGGAGTAGACACCGGCGGGAACGATGGCGGGGATGAGGTAAATGCGGGCGGGGATGATCGGCAAGGTGGGGGTCGACGCGGAGCAGGCCCGTTAGTGGCCGCGGCGGGATTTCTGCGTTTGGGATGTCGCGGGGGCGGGGAAATGATGAACGTACGGCGAGATGGGCATATGGGGGGGTGGATGAGATAGGGGGCAACGCTGCTGGGGGAGTGTGAACAGTGCGGAAAAGACGTGTGGCGAGGACGATGGAGGTCGGTGGAACGCGGCGGCGGCGATGTCGGTGCTGGGGATGGAACGTGGCGGGGATGGATGGGGGGGGGGGTGGAGTGGATCGTGGGCGGGGTGACAACGGGCTGCGGAGGTTTTGCTGCCGCAGAAAGACTGGCGGGGGGGGGGGCGTGTGACGCATGGATGGGTGGAATGGAATGGACGCCGGGGGAGAACGCGGACGACACGTCGCGATAGCCAGGGGGCGAACGAGACGAGAGGGGGCGGGGAAGGCCGGACGAGACGATGCCGGTGGCTCGCGGCTGAGACGAAACGATAGGCGTCGGCGGTGGGCTCGGAAAGCATAACCGGGCGGCTGGCAAACAATCGACCAAAATTGTGCGGCGAGATTCTAGCTTGCGTTCGAAGGTCTATCACATGGCGCGGCGGCTCAGCGCGCGTGACCCGTTCGCGAGCTGCGTGCGGTGGCGGTTGACGCGCGGGCGTGGTGCGGCACATGCGTGCGGCCTGAGCGGCACAGAGGCAGGGATGCGGGCGTACGGTTGTCCGGCATGATCCTCGCCGACCGTTTGTTTCGTCGCCGGAGGTAGAACACTAGA